TGATGCGCTTGTAGTTGTGCTAGGGAGGAATTTAGTGCTAAGAGCTGGTGCCCAAGATCTGCTTTGTATATGTATGCACCGTGACCGAGGCACTTTAGGATGGTGGAATAGCCTTGACCGTGCCAGAGCTAGGGCTTGAGCCGCGGCCGCACGCGATCCCGGATCTTTGCCGGATGTGCTTTCGGGATGACCCGACCATGCGGGGAACCAGTAGCCAAGATGCGAAATTATTGTGACATGTGATTAACAAAGAGACTATGGAGTTGCATCGATAAGACAGCCAGGATAAAAGACCAAGCCATGTTACTGGCAGACATTTCAGGGAGCTTTACCCTATGATGTACCTCCGGGCATTGACCAACTCCTAATCTCAAATACAAGATGGCAGCAAGACAGCAGCTCTCCTTTGCGCAAAAGTTGGACTTAATAGCTGCCTTTGCTTTTCGGATTCCTCTATCCCTAACATTCAACGTTTTCAAGACCGCGATCGGAGCTTCAGCTCGAGGTCTTCCGCTCCGCCCGAGCATCCAGAATGCGTACGCAAGAGCGATCATGGACTGCCTCCATCCCCACCAGGTCCAGACAATTGCCCCGTCCACGATGCAAACATACACATCCTGGATTCGTCGGAATGCGCAGCGCACGGGATTAAGCCACCGAGTCGACACACTGAAGGACGAGACAACTCACCTCGTCTGGCTTGGGCCTAAGAGATCCGATAAAGTGATACTATTTTTCCACGGTACAGTGCCCTTTCTCTCTATCCGAATCTGTCAATTAAAAGCGTAATCATGAAGCTCACCTCTTCAAGGAGGAGGATACGTGCTCCCACTTTCAGATGGCCACCTTGACTGGATGGCACATGTGAGGAAGAGCTGCTTGGAAGCCTCATTGGATGTCAGCGTTTGCATACTAGAGTACTGTAAGTAGACTTTCATTTCGCCCCTTTTAGATATGCTGGAATGACCTTTGCCACTAATCCCCTCAACGCGCCTTTTCAGCACTTGTTCCTGGACATCGCTATCCTACACAACTCAGACAAGCCCTTATGGGGCTACAGCACTTGGTAGACCATGGCTACAAACTCTCCGATGTATTGTACAAACATTGGCGTCCTTGAATAGTGTTGAGATTGTGCAGCTACTTACTGAAGCCGAATCACTAGATCATACTAGGTGGAGACTCCGCCGGGGGCCACCTTTCCCTCTCAGTGCTCTCCGCGCTGATGCGCCCATATCCACCTCACCCTTCCGCCGCTACCACCATCACCTCCACAGTGGGGAATAACTCCGGCCGTCTCCGAGGCTGTTTCCTCATCTCGCCGCTTTTATCCCTTGACCTCACTACACCATCCTACCGCCAGCGCTTCAGTGTCGACGTGTTGTCGCCCTACGTGGTTCGCACATTCGGAAAGTACCTCGTCGACCAGACTTCCTGGCACGAGGAGATCTCACGGGGAAAAGGATGGGGGATGGCGTTGGATGTTCCGGGCAAATGGTGGGACGATTTAGGGCTGGTGGTGGACGAGCTGCTTGTTACGGCGGGACAGGAGGAGATCTTCCGTGACCATGTGGGCCAGTTTGTGCAGCTTATCCGGCAGCAAGCCACGGTCGATTTGGTCGCCCATATCGCACTCGACGAGGCTCACGATGCGCCCTTGATGGATTTCATGGCGCGTCGATCACCCCGGGGCACTACTGAGATCGTCACGTCGTGGATTGTGGATGCTTTTCAGAAGCAGGGCTGAGTGGCTTAGTCACAGGATAACAGGTGCATGAATGTATATCCTGGGTTTGAGGGCATACTACAAAATAGACGCTACTGTAACACGGGGATAGCTGTTGAAATACTCAGCAGGTTAAAAGAATCAATTGCTTGAGGACCGGTCTATATTCTTACAATGATTGGTAAAGGATGGTGAGTAAACAAACACATACCTGGAACTACTGTACCTAGTTTATTCCGAAGCTCTCGGTTCATGATACAATGTCTATGCAGCCTAGAAGATGCACATGAAAAAGCAGAAATTATGTACAAATTCGTCCGAGTCACTTTCCCTGTGCAGTGGCCAAAACATCTTCCCGCGCCGCCTCATCTTCGATCAACTGGGCATGCCGATTGCTACGAACTGTCACTTTGACTGGGAATGGCTCTGTCGTCAGGTGATGATTGAGCTTTCTAGAATTGATAGGCCCGGCCTGTTGTCAAATCGTCAAAGCGTCAGTTACCGAGACAATTGTAGGTGTCAAAATAAAGATAGGAACCGGGGGAGAACTTACAGCAGCATAGTCAAAGCACATTGCCAGCCTAGCAATGTTGATGAAGAGCCCTCGTTGGGCCAACCGATATCCAACACAAATGCGCCTCCCCCCGCCAAACTGCCACAAGCCATGAGCCACGTCCGCCTCATGGCCATCCAGCCAACGCTCCGGCATGAAAGCCTCGGGATTCTCGCACTCGTTACCCACAGGCACCTCATTAATAACAAATCCCACCCCGGCCGGGAACGAGTACCCTTCGAACTCCAAGTCCGCCGTCAGACAGTGATCCGGGGTGAAGACAAAAATCGGCCGCCACCGCAGCAGTTCCTTAATAACTCCACAGATATAGGGCATGCTTTCTATGTCTGACAGGCAGGGCAGACGGAGTGACCCGTTCTCTTTGTCAACACAAATCCAATCCACCTCCTCGCGCGCCTTCTGGAACTTGTCCGGGTAACAGAGCGCCGCCATGGCGAAGGTATTTAGCACCTCGCGGGTGGTGTCGCTGCCAGCCTCGATCAGCTGCATGGCCACATACATGGCCTCTTGATCGTCGCCGGTGAACTTGGTCTCCTCATGCAAAAGCACATCGCGCACGAATGAGGGCGGGGCGGTACCTGCGTCAACCTGGCGGCGGACAGGCACCCACCACGAGCGGTAGACCTCGTAGTTCCACTGGCCCAGCTTCTCCCAAGAGCGGCGCCAGGGCTGAAGCACCCACTTTGGAGTCCAGCGATCCAGCTCCGGGAACCAGTCGATCCAGCTGGTGCCGATGCTGCCCACGAACCGGGTCACCACCTCCTGCAGGTCAGCCAGCTCGTGGCTGGATTTGTGTAGCCGCTCGCCCAGCGCGATCCGGTGGACAACCGAGTTGGCGTAGCGGTAGTGGTGCGCGAACCAGCGCTGCGGCTGGTAAAGGTACTCGGCCATCATCTGCGTGCTCTCGAGCTCCTGCCAGCCGCCGTACTGCTTCAGCGCCGAGCCGCTCAGCAACGCGTGCATCACCCGCCGCTTCTCCGTCCAGCCCTCCTCCAGCGACAGCAGCAGGGACCGTCCGTGTTGACTGACGATGCCGCTAGAGATGGGCATCGGAGACCGGCCGTTGGTCAGCGAGCCGCGCTTGGCGATGATTTCCGCCACGACGCGCTTGCTGTTGAGGAGGATCCATGTCTTGGTGCCCAGGTGCAGCGTCGTCATCTCGCCGTATCGCGCCATCTCGGTCACCTGGTGATTCGGTTTCGCACGACTCAGTCGGCCAGTCAAACCTCATTTAGAGTAACATTCTCACTCAACTCACCGCTTTATGGTCATCCTCCCGGGCGCGATTCTTCAGGAAAGGCAGGCTGCCGAGAATCGGGACCCCTTTCGGACCCGGAGGCAGGTTGTATCGCTTCCCACCGGGTCCGCGACGCTTGCCCACTGGCTTGAGCAGCTCTTGGAGGATGTAAAATGAGACTGCAAGACATACAACAATCGTGCCCAGAACTTTGACTCGGGGATGTGCATCCGTCCACGAGAGTATCATGGACAACATCTTGAGTAGCTTTCTGACACGAATGGCTTTTTGTTGAAGAGAAAATTGATCAACACTCCACTTCATTCATCAGGTCTTGTATGAAGGCAACTAAATTATAAACATTTTTTCAACGCACAGTACTTAGTGAATGCTGCCCGGAATTCACCCGGACACACATGGGGCGATAACCTGTCAGGACCGGGTCTTTCCAGTACCGGGCGTTACACCATCGGCCTGTGTTCCGCAGATCGCGCAGTGTAATATTGGGCATAGAGGTGCGTAATGGTTCCGGTCCCGTACCTTCTGTAATTTATGCATCGAACCAGGAGGTACAGTACTCCGAGGATTGTCTTGATTTCTGTTAGTAGCCTTGAGGTTACTGTATACTTCCTCATGTCTTGACGTAATACCTGGAATCTTCTATTCTTTTTGAAGGAAGTGTTAGCAATCCATTGAAATGTATTTACTTAATGTTCAACGCTTTTCGCAGAATTTCAGTGATAAAGCTTTCTCGCGCCACGGACGCGAGCACATATATTTGATTGTGCCATTTCTCGCCTCTCCCTCAGAAACTCATTGCCACAGCTCCATCGATCCTCCTACCCTCAGAACGAAAATATCCGGTACGCCTCAGTGGCATACCATAATGTAAGGTCCGCATCATACATTTCTAGTAAATGATATTAAATTTTGTCATATTAATTTGGCTGTTAGAAATAAGAATCGCCCGCCCTGGATCTTCCGAGGTATTTTTTTCGCTTTGAACTGTGCCGGCACCAACCCGGAGACAATGGAAGAAAGAAAGATATATAAGTAAAAAAGAGAGAATGTCATTAGGTTAGAACTTAGCGCCCATGCTCCAATGCGCACACAATACCTAGGCCTGCTGCCTGAGGCTCGCGATTGGTTTCCGCTCAACCCTAACTTCCTGCTTTTCAAAGCAAGCAATGTGCCATGGTGCGGCAACCCGCAGTAAATTCATTCAACAGGCTACTGATACTGCTGAATAACTACAAAGAAAACCTGTGGATAGCTGTGTGTAACGACAATGATCGAGCTTAACTCTCTATCTACAATGGAGCACCTTGTCTTGTAACCCGCAGGCAAACAGACAAACCCTCTGATATAAAAGACACGATAGGCAACAAACCTCTGAGCCCCTTCTTAAGAAGCAACACCGACTGCAAGATCCTTTGTCAATTTCAAACAAACAACCATGAGCCATGGCAGACGTCACTACTCTCACTCCAAAAGCCTTCCATCCCTTTAAGCGCCTGCCGCCCGAGCTCCGCACTCTGATATGGGAGTTCGCATGGCCCAATCTTCGCCTGCACCACGCGGTCAGACTGTGTCCCGCGGCGGAGTGTCACTGGAAGCTGTACTGCGGCGACGATTTCGACCCCGCGTATACGGAGATGAAGCCCGCATCGCTGAAAATCATGATGCCGGCGATGACGGCGGCGAACCGCGAGGCGCGCGCTCTTTCCCGGAGGTTGGTCAGGCGCTCCCTGTACGAGTATTTTGAACCGTGTCCGACGGCCACCCTGACACCACCCAGTGAAGAATCCGACTCCTGGCTGGCGTTCGACTGGCGCACGCGTCGCTACACCTTCCGCCGGCTTTACGCCTCCGACACGGTCGTCTACCTATCGCCCGCAGAATTCGAAGCAATCCTCCTGGCCAGAATAAAAAGCCAACATTCGCGGTCATATCTCTTTGAGACGGTCGCGGTGCCGCTGACGCTGCTCCAGCGGCACTCAGACAAGTTGCGCGTGCTGAGCGAGTACTTCACCCGGCTTAGCTACGTGATGGCCGTCGTGAATGATCTTGTGGACCAGCAGAAGCAACAGAGGCAACAGCAGGAGCAACAGCATGAGCGGCGGCAGAGCTGGTGGGGCCAGTTCATGCAGTGGAGTAGCGGCGCGGCCCAGGGAGAAGGCCAGCAGCGGCAGCAGCAACCGAAGAGGAATAATACGAAGAAAAAAGGCTGGTGGGTCGAAATCTCGCACTGGGCGCAGGGGAAGTATCTTGTCCCGGATCCGGCCACTCCCGGGGTCGGGGATTGGATCCATGAAGAGAAGACCATGTTCAAGACGGACGTCTACAATATCATCCAACGGGCGTATCGGCGAGTTCTTGCCTTGGATTGTGCGCAGCTTCGGGTCCGCCCGGTTCGGGCCTGTCACAAGGAGGACGGTTGGATTGGCATGGCTCCCGGAAGTAGGTATAGCGGCATGGATATGGCCCTCCAGGTCTCGCCGATTGAGCCCCTGTTGCTGACAGCGCCTGATGGTCCGGTAATTAGGTGGGACTTGCACAAGTACTTTTGTATCTCGAGTTTGAATATGAATACATTTCAATGCAATCGGTATGTGATATCACTTTCTAAGCCAGGAGGCGACCCGGCCAAGCGACCTAGATTTGGTTCATCGTCTCAACATATGTGTCAGTATATATTCGGAACCCAAAGTCGTATTATCCCGGCACTCCTTCGTTCTTGAGTCAAAATCAGAGGGAGAAAGCTTTGTCTTCTTTATGGTCTTCTTCTTTCTTACTTTGCTCCCTGAAATCGCGTTCACCTATCTACTCAATGTCATCGCCCACTCCTTTTGCGCATTAAAAGTGAGCAATGGCTAAAGTCACTCACAGCCAGCATCATCAGCTCTAACAGGTAAAGCGTGACATTCAATGTGACTTTGCTTTATAGAACAGATGCAATTACTTTGGTGATCTAGTACTGCACATATTCCCTTGATCTCTGATCGTAGCTCACTCATGATCCCGTACTTCTATGGTATTACTGAGAATTCTCTGCTCAGTGATCTCAGTCTATATGATTGAGTACCCAACAGTTTACTTGGACAGATATATTTCCAACATAGTTGACAAAGGCTTATCGCAAGAAAAGCGCTTTGGTAGTAATATTGAAAGTAAAAAGTATTCTTTCTCATTCCTCATCACAAACCCGCTTACAGAGGTCCTATTCATTATCCCCATTATTATGTCAGAGTAGTACGAAACGCCTTGTCGCTATGTTGCTACCGGGTAACAAGCCCGGGGATGATAACGTTGTCTTCTACGTAAAGATGAGATATGTGGTGCTTATTCATTTTATGTGGTTTAAAAAGAAGGGTAACCATACACAGCACAGCTTTGGCAATACCATCGATTTGAACTGTGACCCTAGGCTGACCCTATTTGTCTGACATAGACACATCACAAATGCTTTCCGAAGAGAGAATGGCATCACTCATCCTCCACATCCCTAGACTAAGTCCCAAAAGCGTTCTAGGCTATCTGGTTCCATATCCAATAGCCACAGAGCGACGATAAAATTCAGTGGTTATCAGTGGTTATCAGCGTGAGAGTGTCGCCAGCGTAGCTGGCCCTTGGAGACCGGAACCAACACCGAAGGAGCCGGCGAGCATTTGCGCTTGCTGTTATCAAAGCTCAGTATAAGTTATTTTAATGCATCCTCTGATACATACGACCACAGGGTGTGGAAAACAGGGCTTCCCGTCCGCTCAGCCGTACTTAAGCCACACGCCGGGAGGTTAGTAGTTGGGTGGGTGACCACCAGCGAATCCCTTCTGTTGTATGTTTTTTTGCTTCTCGATGTGGAACATGGATCAACGCTGATGGGAATGATGATCTATGTAGCGTAGGAAGAACAGTGTCCATTCAATGGGACTGACGGAGCAGGTTTCCATTCCGGTAGAACACAAAATTCGGTTGTCAAGTTACTTTCGTATTCCTGACATGTCTTACGCTAACCATCTCACGAGAAAGAAAATTGCGAAGAGAGTCGACCAGTCAATCCCCAGCTACTTCACCCTGCAATAAGTCTAAAAGCCCCACTGATTCAACCAATTGGCCATCTGAGCCGGTGACACTGGATCGAGTGATGCCATCGTCTCACTCCCCTTCCTCGACCGCTCGACGCTGATGTCCGCCGACAAGACATCTGCGTTATTCGCCAGGCCACGGAAGAAGGCCAGGAGCTTCAGCGCGGGTTTGTCTTGCACGTCGCCATCGGATGGATCCTGGGTGGTCTCCAGGTCGGCGACCCAGTCGACGAGAGGCACGGGTTGAACGGGGTATCTTTCTTGAATCGCGGGAACGAGAGAAGCCCAGGTGGTCCGGGATGGATTGACCAGATGGAAGACTGCGTTGCGGGTTTCCGCGAGCGAAGCGCGGCGGCCGAGGACGAGTTCGTTCACGATCTTCGCTAGGGTATCCTGAAGCGATTGTGTCAGTAACAGTCCTCAGTGCTTGGATATAGTAGAAAAAGAGAGATTCAGGTGCGTACCACTGAGACCCAGTCGATCGGGTAACCCCCGAGATCGAACGGCACTTTGCCCGTCGCCTTGGATGTCTTGATCAAGGAAGGGACCCACTCGTGCGGATTCCACACTCCCAGTCGCGTGTCGGGCCCAGCGATCTGTCCCACGCGCAGGATACTGGTCGGCACGCCCGCCTTCTTCGACGCCTCCACGCAGATGCTCTCCCCGATATACTTGGACTCGCCGTATCCCTGCTCCAGCGTGGCGTCCGCCGTCTCCATCGGAACCTCGGGGACGGCCGTGGCCCCACCACTAGGCTTCCAGGCCCCGATCGTGCTGACGGAGGAGACGAAAGCGAGATGGGCCCGGTAGCGGCTCTCCTGGCTGAAGCGCACGAACTCCCGGACGCCCTTGAGATGCGGGTCCTCGAAGGAGGACACGGGGTGGTTGAAGTTGACCTTCCATGCATTGTGGATGATCACGTCAACCGTATTGAGGAGCTCGTTGTATTGTCGGTCGGGGAGACCGAAGTGGGGTTCTCCGAAGTGAACGTGCAGGAACTCGACCTTGTTGGGATCATTCAGAGAAGCGATCTGTAGTCCCTTTTCCTGGAAACCTTCCATTTGACGCGGCAGCGAACCTTCACTCCGGTTGAAACAATAGATTTTGGCCACCTGGGGGTTGCGCAGCAGGTCGTCAAGAATATAGCTGCCCAACGATCCGGTGGATCCGGTCAGAATGACAGTGACCAGCGCGGGCAGCTGAGGGAGGGCATCAGACTCCCGAACATGAAGATCATTCGTATACTTGGCAATCAACTGCGCAATCTTTACTGAACGAGAAACGGTGGCGATTGGAGTCGATGGTTTGTCGAGGATCCCCAACAGAAGATTAGTGAGTCCCTCTGCAGTGGGGTGTGCATAGATCTCCTGAACATTGAGATGGTCGGTGTTCAATCCCGGATTATGGGAGGAGACCGAGTTCTTGAGGATCTTGCTCAGTTGGATCGCCTGAAGTGAGTCCAGGCCCATACTATAGAGATCGTCACTGGCTTTGATGTTCTGCCTTCCAGTAAGTTTGCAGATGACGTTCTGCAGATACCCGCAGACAGTCTCCGGGGTGATTGCTGATGGCAGGTCCATCACCAGCTGCTTATCTTGGGCCGCGTAGATCTGCTCGATCTCCTCGGCATAATCTTTATTCACGGCATGTCGTTGTGTTGTACCTTTGGCGGTGAGTTTGAAGGGCTTCTCGCGTGATGAGAGCCGGATCATGCTTTTCACGATCTGGCCGTAATCAGGAACAGTCGCGTTGGCTTCCTGTACCACTGGCCAAATCATGTTGATAAACTCCTTAACATCAGCTGGAGTGGCAACCTTGTCAAAGTCCGGCTCAATCAACAAGCATGTCTGGAATCTGCGTTGGCCGATAAGCAAAGCCCGATGAACCGAAGGGTGGCCCTCCACGATCTTCTCCAATGAGATCGGATTCAACTTCTCGCCGTTGCTGAGCACTATCACATCGTCAAAGCGCCCATGATACTTCCAGAGCTTGGGGTTGGTTGGATGCCGTGTGTAGAGATCTTTGGATCGATACTCTTTCAGCTCCGGGAACGTGTGAAAGATTCCATGCATCACGAGAGAATGCTCCACCCGTGGTATGACCAGCTCGTATAGCCCGTCCCCGATCAACTGCATGTCAACCTGATAGAAGGGATTCCACTCGAAATATCCCCAGGTGTCCTCTCCTTCGGGGACCATGGAGCAGATGATGCCCATCTCGCTGGAACCAATGGCCGATCGTAACTGGGTGTATCGAACAAGCTTCTCGCCGACTTCGGGCGAAAGAGGAGCCCCACCATAGCAAATAAACTTCAAAGTGCTGAGGCATGCAAGAGCCTCGTCAGAATAACTCATGTCTTCAAGGATCGAAGGTGGAAGAATCGTGACTGTCGGCTTCGTATGGCGAATCAGATCGGTCAGGAACCCGACGGAAAGTAGCCTTTCCGGGCTAGCAACGAATGGAATGTTGTGGAAAATGGATTCAAAGAACGAGGTCAGCCCCATCAAGTGGAAATACGGCGTGGACGAAAGAACAAGTTCCTTGTGGTTGGGGTCATCGGAGGACAGGTCATTGAAGAATGCGGAAGACCGTCCCGGAGGCAAAGGGATCACTGCGGCAAAGTCCATCGTACCCAGGAAGCCATGGGTGAGAGGAACAGGTTTAGGCATGCCTGCTGAAAGCGTTAGCCCTATAATCCTTCCGGATCAGGCGCTTCAGATGTACTGTACCGGTTGTTCCAGAACTATGGATTATGAAAGCAATCTTGTCCACCACCTCATCATAGGTCTGGGAGAACTCGAAGTGATTCGTGCCACTTCCATTGTTGAGGATGTCCGCCACAGACGGCACCTCTTGGAACTTCATCTTCCAGTCCAAGGTTCTCAACCTGGAAGCAATCTTCAACTTCTCTTGGCTGAAAAGCAGATGCGTGCACTTTGTTTCCTTGAGAACATGGTTGTATGCCTCATCCGACAGCCGAGTGGAAGGTAGAAAGATCTATAAGCAGATTCAATTATTGGTGATTAATCGCAATCCCTTCGTAACAATAGCACCAGAAGAAACGAACCGTATAGCCTGTCTTATGACACGCGAGCATAAAGATGATGTAGCGCACATCATTGTTCCCCAGATACGCAATCCTTTCTCCCGGTTGCGGTCTGCCCAGAGTGCCGTCAATCCACCAGGACATGGCATTGACTGCGCGGGAGAGATCCCGGAACGTCATATCCCGAAAGCCCTGCTCGACTTCGGTGCCATTGGGGATCAGGCCAAATCGCCTGGTCGGAGAATGCTTTGTGATGGTATCGACTTGGGTCACAAGAAGCCTTCCCGGGGCTTTGAACGATCCCGGTGCTGGATTGGCGACTCCGACCATGGTCACTTGACACGGGCGCTTGTTTAAAGAAGGGCACTTTGTGCTTGGATGCAGGAGTGGGAGAGAAGGATCTTTATTGAATGACCAGATCGAATTGATTCCTGTGCCCCTGCCATCTTTAAATAATTTGAGGGGAAGGAAGCTTTGTAGAGACGGGCAAGATGAGGCTTTTTTCCCCATTTCGCCATCCTGTGTGCTGGTTTCATCCCTCGCAGCGCATTGTTGTGATTCACCAGTGCAGATCATGGTTGGATTCACATATAGTCGGTGACGGAGACTTAGGATGAAGCGGTTATACACAGGATCGGGTGCATAAAAGTTCCGTCGGTATAAGTGGGTCGGCTAATGCTGCCGAGTCGGGGTACGTGGAGATCGCTTGTACATCCAATGCAGTGCATATCTATGCTCAATAAACACTAGCATCCTGAGACAAGGTGCGAAATACGTCACCCGGCCTGAAGATCAGTGCCCAATACGGGATTACATTGCAGGAACCAGCTCTAATGGAAAACAGTCTACATTCCACCGGAGCTTCACGACTGATTGGTGCAGCAACCGAGGATGCGTACAGTAGTAATGCTTGAATATTCCTTCATACTCTACTAACTGGCCTACATATG